GAGAACAATATAATACACTTGCTATTTCTTTCTCCTTTTCTTTAATCTTTTCTTATTTCTTTTTGTCTTTCTTGGAAGCACATGAAACGTGGTGGATCAGTCAAAACTGGCTGTTTTATGTCCATATTTTTATTGGAGTCTACATGAAAGACGCGTGACTGCGCGTGACGCCACGGTATGAAACGGTGTGAAATTGTCCGCGGATATTTCGAATTTTTGTATTCGTGTTTCGAGCGCTATCTATGTTTAATCCATAGACGTTAAAAGAAATAGATGTAGCGCGCGCTGCATATTTCCTGTTACATACGTAGCGCCGAATTCCAAAGGAAAACGAATAGAAAAATGAGACATCAAAAATTTTTTTATATTTTTATTTTAAAAAGTGAGCAACGACGTGTATATAATATTAACATTTTATATTATTATTTTATTATATAATATTAATTAACCGATACAAATTCATGATTTGAATTTTTTGTCCAAAATGTGGTTTTTTTTTGTTGAACGGTCATGTATATACAATGAACAAGTATACATCAAGCCTGGAGCCAGGTTTCAATTGATTTTGCTTACCATCATCTCTACTCCTTTTGTTTCATAGCATTTAGACTGCGTGCGGAGATACAGATTATAGAATGATCGAATTTAGGAACGATATTAGTTATAAACCATACAGGACATTGTAGGGTTATAGGACTTTTTTAAAATAAAAATATTTTTTAAATATATTTTTTCAGCACATGCACATACCTACATTGTACCTTAGTTAATATACCTGTTCTATTTTGAACTGTTACTTTATTTGGATATTCTAACATCCAAATAATATTAATAATAATAATAAAATTCTGTAAACAGTGAACGCGGAGCAATATGTTTCAAAATTCTATAGTCCTACAGTGTCCCATACGGTTTACAGCTAATATCGTCCCTGAACTCCCTCTTTCTGCGCAGTCTATAAATACTATGAAACAAAAGGAATAGAAATGACGACAAGTAAAATCGGTCGAAATGTGCAACAGTGGCCTAATTTACACCGAAGGTTCGATTCAAGTCGGAATGTAAGATCCAGGTCAGAATGCAAGAACCAACCAACTGCAGTCGAGCATTCCCTTGTCATTCGACTGTAACAGGGGAATGCTCGACTGCAGTTGGTTGGTTCTTGCATTCTGACCTGGATCGAACCCTCGGTGTAAACTAGGCCAGTGATGCTCTCTACTTTTGCTTCACCAATTGACGCCGCTCTCTACTAGCCGAACGCGGTATTAATTGGTGGAGCAAAAGTGGAGGGGCTGATTCTTTGAGATGCCCGAAGCCAAATGTGCATCACTGATATGCAACCTGGCTCCAGGCTTGTTACACATACGAAAATGCCTAATCCGGAAGTATGGAATTAATAATATTTAGTAAACGTGTTATCTACTATACGTCGTGCACGCGATAAACACCGGAAATGCCGTGTGAAAACTGTCGTTGTATTACGCTGATTAACAGGCGAGAGCGCAATTAACCTAATTTCTTTTCAATTCGCGTGTAAGATTATCTGAGGCAAATAAAGCAGATAGAAACGTATTATGACGATATGCCAACTAATGAATTTAGTTGTTTAATGACAGATGGCTCGCCGCCAACGCGGGAATTATAATTACATAATTCAGCGACAATATAATTCAAAGCAAAGAATAATTTAATCCCATATGTACATACATAACTGCCGCAATTAAAATTTAGGATACTCAAAGTCGATCCCAAGCAGTCTTGACTATAATAAAATAAAATGATATAAAACATAAAGTACACACACATATTTTAGAGGAGCAAAGAAAATATAATCTAAAGAATGCTAAAGTTTCTATTTATCAATGTTAAATTGATTTACTTATAAATATTAAATTTAATCCTTCAAATTAGTGATGCGCAGTCTTTTTAAAGATTATTTTCAAAAAGGTATTATTTTCATAAGTAAATAAATGTCCATAAATCATTATTTTGTTTGAATAAAAAATATAATAGAAAATATAATTTTATATTTACGGCAAGTTAGCTGATTGCAAAAAATTCAAGGCTACAAGTTGTACATTACTGCTTTAAATCAATTACATTTTTTATATATAGAACTTTGCTCGTTACGTCAAAATATAAAACATGTTATAACATTAAGTGTGATATATTACATATGAAATATTAGCTTTTAAATAGGCATTTGGTATTAAGAACAGGTATTATTACTTCGATGTTTTCAAGTATTAGAAGCTTGCGATCTCTGATACGGTTCGATGACAATTGCCAATGTGTCGTTCCATCGTCTCGTTTTCACGCAGAATCCAATAGCATATCTTGCAGTATCTCTGGCAGTGAAACTTGACGTGTGTCGACAGAGAAAATAAAGTTGCCATCGGTTCTTGGCAAAGATTACACGAGTATCTTAAAATGCGTCGTCGATCGTCAATCTGAAAAATTCGACAATAATTGAAACTTGTTTCCAATTTTTTCAATAGATCGGTACATATTAAAAAATGAAAAAAATTAATGTTTCACATTCTCTCTGGCGCTAAAGATTAACTTTTTAAAGTCTAATGTACGTATCAGTGTCTTTAAAGAATTATACCTTTTAATTATATTTTTAAATATTAAGCTATTTTTAGTTCAACTAAAATTTGTTTTAAAGGAAATGATTTATTATAGAGTAGGATTAGGTATTATAAACATTGCAGGTAATATGATCTAATCTTATCTCATCTCAAGATTCCCATTATGAGAAATTATTGACAAAGCTTTGTTAAAATCTTTGATTTAATTATAGAATTTTTTATTGTTACTATATAATAAAACATATCTTGTTCCTTCTTAGCCCTATATTGTATTGTTTAAAAATTTTAATAATTCCTAAAAGACATGAAAAAGTGGAGTTACAATAAAATTCTTTTTTGATATAATTAAAGTCGTTATGATAAAAAAATACAGTAAATATTTGAATTTCATTACTTCCAAACGTTCATTGATCGCTTCGGAAATTTTCCTTAATTTGTCTGACTAATCGCCTCGCGTCATTTGACACCCACGTTATTTTCGCTTTTCCCTGGAATCATTTGCAAGAAACGCTGACAAGAAAGGAGTTCGGACATTCCCTCGCGAGGAATTGAGGAAAA